GAGTTCAATTCAAATACATCAGTCCGAATATATACACATCAGATGCAGATATAAGCAAAGGCTACGTGAAGTGGGTGCGTGTAAATGCAGTGTCCAAGTGGGTTGTGTGTCAGATGTGCTCTACACAAATAGTCTATCGATGCAGTAGAAATCAGCATGTCATCAGAAGTATGATAAATGCCAGAAAGCTGAAGGATACCTGAATGCCCGCGACAGACAACTGTGCCTCCCTACGCAGGACCATGCCCTCGAGTGTGGCCACCAGTCCAACCACCTCCTCCATGTACCCTCGCGGTGGCTGCAAAAATGAGTTCATAATCATCAGTGAACAAAAAATGTCTAAACATCTGAATGATGAATGAAAAACAGTGGAGCATACCAGCGGTGAGTCAGGATCAATGGCGTATCGATCACTGGGCATCGGAGGCTCTAGCGGGATCGGGGTCGGAGAGATAGCCCCATATTGCCATGCCATCAACTCAGTCGGCATATCTGGCCATCCAGGATGAGGATAAGTCGACGGAACCGGAGGAACCGGCCTACTTCCACCTCTGGATGTACCAGCCCTGCTAGTAGAAGGGACGTCTGCAGCCTGAGCCTAAGCCTGGCCCGAGGATGACATACCGGCAGGCTTCATCATCGGGATACGAGCTCCCGTCAATGGAGGCGTCAAGTATATGTGACGGTAAGTGGCGTAGTCCCCCTCCTCAATATATAGTAAAGCATCACTACCCAGCATGGCGCCGACTACCTCCGAGTAAGAGAACCTGTCAGCAGTCCGCATACTGACTAGGGGCACTGCGGGAGGATCCTGAGAAAGATACCCCCATACCTGGCGCAGAAAGCGTTCCCCCAGGAACCATGCCCTGCCAACCGGCCCTTCGAGCAGGACCCTATACTGGGAGATGTCCGACCCTCCGGTATACTGAAGTCGGAGACCATCACCCAGGGACACCCAGGGCTGCCATGTGATCTGCGGGTGATAAATGCATAAACCAATCAGAAATCGAGAATATGCAGAGCAAATCAAAGATGAAAATGAAAGGAACTGAAAGTTCTGAGTACCTCTGAATGTCGCACAGTGTCAAAGTACTGTCGCAGGTAAAGGAGGGTCTCTCGAGGTCTCGGCCGGTGCGGGCCCTCGAACACCAGTGAGTATGGGGTCATGGGAACCCCTGCCACCTCCAACTCTGGGGCTAATGCTGGGAAGTATACATAGACCCATAGCTGAGAAAAGCAGTGCAGAATGTAAGTACGAAATGCTGAGAGCAAAATACAGACTGTAAAAGTACGCTGTGAGTGCAATGTACAAGTAATGAGAAGCAGAAATGTAAATCAAGAGGACAGAAAAGTACCTCCCAGGCTCTCCAATAGCCGCCAAGTAAGTCCCGGCGGAAACTCTGTCTGGCCGGTGGTGCTCTGCAGAATGCAAGGAACTTGCTCCAGCACTTTGGTAATTTTCAGAAAGACAAGACAGTACAAACAGAGGCGGCTGCGTGTTCAGAAAATTTAAAGTGTGGGCTGTGTGTTCACTTTCGAATTCGGGCTGTGTGTTCGACAAATCAGTGTTTGAGCCGTGTGTTCGCCTCTTAACTAATGTGTACTGTGCGTTCGCAATTAATTAATGAGCCGAGTGTTCAGAAATTCGAGTTTTGAAACTACCTGTTCAGGATGCAAGCAAAGTACTATGTCATAAGCTAAACTGCATGTTCAAGCATGGCAAAGGTGCGAAATGTACGAAAAATACAGAAAATGAAGTAAATACCTCTCGGGCCTCATGAGAGAGGTGATGCTCCGGCTCTCGGAGAAGCAGATCCCCGGGTGCTCGCTCGTCAAAGCTAGTAAAGTGATGGAAGACAGCACGAGGGAGGACATGTGCTGGCGGACGGTACCTCCCGGGAATAAAAGGTCGGGTCCTCGGGGGTAGAGTCATGGGATCGAAATCATCTCTGGCACCTGGAAAACCTCCGCCGTGGGGAGAATTGCCTGCCATTTTCAAAAGATCTGCAAAGGGAGCAAATATGAGCAAAATGAGCCGAAATTGGAAAAAGTCAACAAAAGTCAACTCTCGGGAAATAAAAAAGTCAACAAAAGTCAACTCCCGAGAAAATCTTCCAAATGTTGAGACAAACTTACCTCAAGTGGCGAAAATGCGAAAAGAAGCTCCGAAATCGAAACTTAATCGCTTCAAAGTGCTTGAAACTGAATATTTTTGCGAAAACAATTTGCGCGGGGCGTTGGAAAACGCGTATGAAACTCAGATCTGGAGAAGAAAGTGTTGTAAGAGGCAAGGAAGGAAGGGATCTCGGCTGCAATATATAGGCCCCAAGTCTTGGATTGAAGGAGCATCAAAAAGGAGGTGAAAATACCAAAATGCCCCTGAATTTGGGCATATGGCTGGCCGGCCCTCTTTTCTAGTCGGCCAGCTATCTGCTTTTTGGAAAACTGGCCGGCCAGCTATTTGTTTTATGGAAAACCGGTTGGCCACCTCCCCTTGGGAAGATAAACGGCCGGCCATGTCCCCCACATACCCACCTAGCTCCCTGAAAATTTTGAGAAAGATTGGAGTTCCCGGGACCTGAAAAAGTTCAAGAAAAGTACACTTCCGGTCGCGAAATAGCTCCACCGGGACTTCAACTTCGAGATCTGACATATGTCTCATCATCATTCATCGAAATCAAAGTGTATCCTTTTCGAACGAGTTGTAGCCTTTCCAGGAAGTGGGTTGGAGGCCGTGATCAAGTCGCCTTCACCGAAACGCGCATTTCCATACTCGTTACTTCATGACAAACGGGCACCCTGATTCATGCTCATTTCGCACTATCATGCACATAACTTGCATTCTCATGAGCATACCTGCATTAACGTGCACATTTCTTGATATTGGCATACCTCTACGTTTGAGCATACGTTGTCACGCATGTTCCACTCTTGCATTGCGATGCATTCACTCACTGGCGCTGCGTGTGTCAAACTTTCGGAATCACATTAAATATATGTTGGTAGCATATTGTACTTGTTGCAATTTCTCTCTTTTGCAGGCACGATATTGTATGTACGGTTCAATTGAGGCTGGTGCGACCAGACGAATCGCGCAGGTATCGTATCTTCTCCGTGTGAGATGTGGCGGGGATTGAATAATCCTCCGCATTCTTAACTGCATGAAATGTAGTTGTTGCTTTGCATTCTTGCTTAAAACTGTTGCATCTATTTGCGAATACTTGCTTCATTACAGCTTGCTGCATTTGCATGATCATCGGGTTACCTCCGGCTCTTTGCATTATCATTTGCATTTTGCCCCCTGCCTGCGGGCATGCCTGCGGGCACATCTTTGTTTATCTTTCCTGTTTGTCTAAGTCTTCGGCCTTGTCAAAAATGGGTCGTCTCTGGGCTTTGACATTCACTCCCGTCACTTATGACTTTCGAGTTCTGTCAAAGAGGGGCAACTGTAGACACCCCATTTTTGACCGACCTTAAGACTCAGATGTCACTGATTGAGTGGTTGGTGATGTTGCATAATGTGCTCGTTCAGAAGTTTCAGAGTTACGGCCGTGAGCCCTGCCTCCGGACTTCCGAACCCTCTTATGTGCCTTGTCTCGGTTTGCGAACCAGACTCAATTTTTTCTGTTTCTTTTCCTGAGGGGAGGGAGAGGTCCAGTAGACCATCTCTCAATGTCCGCAGGCTACATTTCGTGGCCGTAGGCCATTTTGCCCATTTCGGAGTCCGGTTCCCGGTTTCCGGAGCCGTCAGGCCGTGTGCCTCGGTTCGGGACCGCCTAACCACCTCCGTTTGTAAGTAACTGGATGTGGCTCATACTTCCGAAGCATGCTAATATGAAACACATCATGGACTCCGAAACGTTGTTGCAGCAATGCCAAACGATAAGCTACATGTCCAACTCGCTCAAGGAGCTCAAATGGCCTAATAAATCGAGGGGACAACTTCCCACTCTTTCTGAACCTCATCAAACCCCTCCTAGGTGATATTTTCAAAAAAACATAATCTCCCACCTCAAAACACAAAGTTCTCCTCCTACAGTCAACGTAACTTTTTTGATGACTCTAGGTCGTAACTAACCGCTTACCCTCCTTTCGGGCTAATGTTGAACCCCTTGGACCCTTTTTCTTGAACTTTGAACCACATATTTGTGATGTACACACATGGGAGCACCCTAAAAGTTGGTGGCCGGTCAGTAATTCCACTTGACCCTTTTGAACCCCTCTTTCCGGGCTAATGTTGAACCCCTTGGACCCACTTTCTTGGACTTTTAACCACAGGGTTGTGTTGTACACACATAGGAGGACACCATCAATTGGTGGCCGGCCAGAAAATCTGATTGACCCTTTTGACCCCTAGCCGGCCGGCTAGGGGGTGTGGCCGGCCGGCCACCTGCAGCAAAAGTACCAGGCCGGCCGAGCTCCTTGCACTGTTCCCTTTACAGCTGTGGGGCTTTATCCCCCAGAAAAGATTTTTATCCGAGGGATATTTTGTGGGGGAAAGTTGCTCTCCTTTTCCCCCACCTTTGCACCCCCTTTTTGGCCTTGATAACAAGCAAGCTATATCACATGTTGGGGTTAGAAAAATTCTTCTTCAAGCTTCCATACAAAACTCCATCTCTATACCTCTCATTTCCTTGTGGGGTTAGAAAAATTGTTGTTCAAGCCTCCATACACAACTCCATCTTTATCCTTCTCATTTCCTTGAAAATCTCTATGCCCCTAAGCACCATTCCTTCTACACCACCAAGCTCTACCACCACCACCTCATTTCCAGCAACAAGGAAGGCTTCTAAAAGGCCAAAGAAGCTGCAAATTGGTCCAAGAAGCAACAAAAGTCTTAGTCTTCAAGGGTGAGTAACATTTCTTCACTTTGACCCTTTTTTCTTGATCCATTGGTAAGCCCCATATGCTTTTTGTTTCAAGCTCCGGCCCTAACTGAAAGGGGCCCTCTTTTGAGCTCATCTTCACTTTTCATTAAGGGCTCAACCCTGTTTGAGCCCTCCATGATGCATTTGCTTCATTGATCCTCTTATATGTCATAATCTTGCATGCTATTTTTGACCCACGCGTAATCTGTTTTTGAGCATGTTGTAAACTGATATTAGTCTTATTTTGAGCCCCTCTTCAACATTGAAGAAGGTCTCAACACCATTTGGGACTTCCATGTTGTACCTACCTTTATACTCCTCTTTTATTCCCCATTCTTGCATGTTTAGTTAGCCTATCATGCTTTTGTTTTTAGCCATTTTAGAGTTCTGGAAATAGTCTTATTTTGGTCCATTCTACATGTTTTATTAAGGGTCTTTGGCTGTTTGGTGATTATTTTGCATACTTCATGTTATAGCCACTTTTGAGCCTTATTTTGCATCACATTTCTATCATGTTTGTATACTGATTTTGAGGCTGCCATATACTGTAAATATTCCTATTTTTGGTCCCTCTTCAGTGTTGTAGAAGGAAATTTTTCAGTTTGGATTTTGCTTATATCACTTGCTTCATTACCCCTCTCTTGGCCCCTATTCTTGCATGCCATTTTTGCCATACCTATGTTTGCTGTTTGGCCATGTTTATAACTGCGAAAGTGCCTTTTTTGGGACTGCCTAGCTTCTGTCTTTGCATTGCATGTCCATATCGTGCATGTTTGGCATAGCTATAGGTCATTTCGGGTGCCTAAATTTG